AAAGATGGCGGCACCGCCGCCGCCGCCGCCTCACGCGCCGGGCGTGCCCTCACCCAAGATGGCGGCGGCCGTGACGTTACCCCTCCCGCCACGCCCTTAGAGAAGATGGCGGCGCGGCGGGCTGGCGGCGGAGCTACGTCACTTCCGGCGGGGAGGCATGGCGGGGCCCGGCCATGGCGGACGCGGCGGCGCGGCGGGCGGTGGCGGAGCTGCCGCTGCTGCGGGCACCGGCGGGGCCGCGGGACCGCGAGGGCTGGGCCGAGCGGCTGCGAGAGGAGTACCGGGCGCTCATCCAGGTGCGGCCGTGGCGCCTCGCGGTGTCCCCTCCCCTCACGGTTCCCGTGCTTCCGTTCGTGCTCGGTGCTCTCCCGGTGTCTCAAAACCCTCCCGGTTTTCCCCATGCGGTGTCGTTCCGGTGTACCCCCGTTGCTGCCGTCCCCCTCCCAGGTCCCCCCCGGTATCCCCTCGATACTCCCGGTGTCCCCCCCGGTGTTCCCTGTCATCCCCCGGTGTCCCCCCCGTGAGTCCCCTCGGTACCCCGGTGTCCCTCGATCCACCCCCGGTGTCCTCTTGACCACTCCCGGTGTCCCCCGGGCCCCGTCCCCCCCCCCCCCCCGGTACCGGTGACCCCCCCCGGTGTCCCGGCAGTACGTGGAGAACAACAAACGCGCCGACACCGACTGGTTCCGCCTGGAGTCCAACCCCGAGGGCACCCGGTAAGGGGGAGGGGAGCTCCGGGACCCCCCCCCGGGATTGTCACAACCCCCCCGAGGCCGCTCCGGTGACCGGGAGGGTCCCGGGGGGTGAGGGAGGGGCTGCTCGGTGACCGGGGAGGGTCCCTGGGTCACGGAGAGGAGGGGGGTTGCGGGGGGGTCCTGGAGGGTCTGAGGAGTTTTCGGGGGGGTCCCGGGGTCACTGAGGGGTTTTGGGGGGTCACTGAGGGGTTTTGGGGGGTCCCGGGGTAGGGTCTGAGGGGTTGGGGAGGGTCTGAGGGGTTTTGGGGTGGTCTTGGTGTGGTTTTGGGGTCACTGAGGGGTTTAGAGGGGGTCCCAGGGTGGTTTGGGGGGTCCCAGGGGGGTATTGATGGGGTCCCAGGGTGGTTTGGTGGGTCCCGGTGTGATTTTGGGGGTCTCTGAGTGGTTTTGGGGTGTCCTGGGGAGTATTGATGGGGTCCCGGGGGGTTTGGGAGGTCCCGGGGGGTTTTGGGGGGTCCCGGAGGGGGTTTGGGGTCACGGAGGGTCCCCGCTGTCCCCAGCTGGTCGGGCAGGTGCTGGTACATCCATGAGCTGCTCAGGTACGAGTTCAACATCGAGTTCGAGGTGAGGAGGGGGCTCCGGGGGG